TGAGGGGTCATCTGTGCTCAGAGCTGCCCGGTTTACCTGGGGCCCGGGGCTCCCAGGTGAAGGGACACAGCCTGGGCCCCATGTGAGGGGTCACAGAGCCAAGGCCCCACGTGAGGGGTCACAGAGCCAGGGCCCCAGGTGAGGGGTCACAGAGCCGGGGCGGTGGGGCCCTAGGTGACGTGGGCGTGTGTTCTTGTCCACAGACGGCGCCCCCGCCAGCTCCCTCATGCAGGTGGCTGCCCTGCTGACCCAGCGGCTGTGCCGCACGCGCCGGGCCTGGCGGGGTGCGCTCTGTGACCTGCTGCTGCCCGTCCTCTTCATGGCCTTGGCGATGGGCCTGTTCATGGTGAGGCCTCTGGCCACCGACTACCCTACCCTCCAGCTCACGCCTGGCCACAACAGGAAAGCCGAGACTTCCTTCTTCAGGTAAGAGACCCGCTCTTCGGGGAGGCCCTCACTCCCGAGCTCCGTGGGGACAGAGGGCACAGCAGCAGCTCCGGGACCACGTGTTTCCTACGTGGAGTCCTAGCAGGAGGGTCCGCTCTTCAGGCCCCGTTCAGGGCGAACGAGGCAGCCTGGCCTCCAAGCTCGTGTCTCGGGGCGCCCGCAGCTCCCCAGGCACCAAGCCCCTCCGTGAGTGCCCCTGGCTGACATGCCACGGCCCGGCCACTCCAGCCCACGGCCTCCAGCAGGCACCGGAGCCAGGTCTCTGGCGCAGAGGTCATGACCCTCTGCTCCTCCTTCCTCTGCGCTCTCTCCGCTGGGGCGCAGGAGGGCGTCTGGCTGCGGGCCGCTTGTCCTCCACTCCTGGGGTGCAGACCGGGGGCGCTTCCTGGTCCCCAGCCCCGGCTCTGCAGCTGGTCTTCAGGTCGCATTCCTGTGCTGCCGGACAATGGGGAAGGGGCAGTGACTCCCAGGAGCCAGGCCCTGCAGCTGCTCATCAGCCCAGGCACCTCAGAGGGGAGCTATTCTCCTGCCTGAGGCCCCCCATCCCCCTCCCACCCTCGCCCTCCTGCTGTTTGAGCTCCATCTGCAGCAGAGTCATGGGGGCGGGCAGACAAGGACACAGGCCCTCAGGGTGGTGTGCCGGCCACGCTCTGTGCAACAGGCTGCGGGGTCGCGTGGACGTGGCACCTTGGAAGTGCTGTCGTGGGGAGAGCACAGGACCCACTCAGAGCCTCCTCAGGAGCCACAAGGAAGCGCTGGTTTCCATCCTGGTGGGAGGGCAGGGTCCCCCGGCCCCCGCAGCACCTTAGGTAGCCCCGTTCCAGGGCACCACGGGAGCAGTCGTGGAGGAGTGAGCCTTTGAGTTTTATGGCAACAGGACAAGCGAAAGCCAGTTGGTTTATTTTTTCAAACAGTGACCTCTATACCAAAGCAACAAAATAGCAAAAAGTAAACCATAACTGTAAATCTTGCTCTTAGTAATTATTCCAAGGAAACCACTTTATGGGTCGATATTTTTTCCCCCCAGAAAAAGCATTTTAAACTTTTGTGTTTGTTCTTAGATTAATAGGTCGAAAGAGGGCGATCTGAGCATTTTCACAGATGTCACAGGAGCGTTTTCCTTTTATGAGCGACATTTCGGTGGGAAATGTGTCTCATTGTGGAGTGTTTCCTCATTTGTCAGGAACGTGAGGGCTGTGGTGCAGGGGTCACACTGCCCGCTTACAGGGCGTAGCTTCGCTGTAAACGTCAGTGTTTCCATCAGGAGTGTTTCTGGCTGTAGCCATGGGAGTCATTAGGCCAGTCATGAACCATGTTGACTTAACAGTAAAAAACCCAGTTACTTTTATCAGCAAAGGTGTTTATTTGGAAACAGCAGAGAACTGCAGTCTGGGATGAGGACGCTGTAGCAAAACTAGGCAAGTTAAGCCAAGAGGAGAAAGAGCATTAGAGACAGAGGAGGAAGTGGGAGGGCGCTGTGCATGCAAGTCCCAGGGAAGGGAGTGTTCAGGGGGCGATGGCTTCCCATTGGCTGAGCTAGTTGCCGGGCAGGGAGAAAACCTTCCTCCCCCTGTGGGGTGGTTGGACACAAAGCAGTCTCTTCCCGGGGGCTGTGTCCCTGAGGGCCCCCCTCCACGTTAAAGGCGGTTTTCTCCCCTCATTGTCACCAGCGCCCGAGCAGTTAGATGGATGCTGAGCCCGTGGGAAGACGGTGTTTTCTGTGACGTCCTCCTGGGGTCTGGGCTGCAGTGGGGGTGCGTGGCTGCTGCTCAGCAGGACAGACCGGTGTGATGAGCGCGTCCTCTCCGTTGCCGTTGTTCCCTCGAAAGACGAGGCCAGGGCA